CTCCTTTTTGGCAGCTTCTTGACTTCCGTGCTACGGCGAAGAGACGCGCAGAGCTCCCTGCAGCGAGAAGGCTCGTGGCCCCACGCAGCTCCCAGTTCCATAGGAAGGAGCGGCGGGGCCGGGCGTTCCCTCGGCTGATCCCAAGGCCGGCCGCAGCGCAGCGGGCTGCAGGAGCGCCGTGAAGGGGAACTGCCGGCCCCGCCGCCCCGCCGAGGCCGCGTGTGGGAGGTCCCGCAGCTCTTCCCCGAGCCGCTCTCGAGCGGAGACAGGAATCGGCGACGTCGCTGCTCTCTCGCTCCCGGTCATCCGACGCGCACTGAAGTCCAAAGAAAGGGAAATAAAGTCTCGGTCCCGAAGCACTGCCTAACGCGGCGCCGGGGAATAGCGGTGTCGCGGCGGCCGCGCTACGGGCGCGCACCCCGAGCACCGGCTCAGCACGGGGACACCTCGCGCCCGGAGCCCCCGCTCGGCCCCACGGAGGGCAGCTCCCGCTGCGGACCTTTCGGAAACATTTGGCCTCCAAACAGCTCTTCCACCTTCCGTCCCGCCCCGTTGAAAGCGGGAAGTGCTCGGGAAATAACGGGAGCGGGCTTTCGTCCCGGGGGAAAGGGACCTCAAACACCGCCTCCAGGAACCGCAGAAATGAGGGTTTGGACCGGGGGGACGACACGGCCCCGGCAGCACATGGAAGAGTACTTGCAGGATCGCAGCCGAAGCTTGTCCCTTCCAGGCAAAAAGAGCGGAGGCAGCTCCAGATAGCGACAATGGCACTCACTTTCCACACGATTGTGATACTTCAATAATTCTCTGAGATCTAAGTCTGTTCCCAGGGAGAATCGTTACTACGTGACTACAGGAAAGTGTGATTACTACTTTTTTTTTTTTTTAATTATATTATTTAAATTGCTTCAAAGTCTGCAAAAGCAACTGCTCTTTTCTTTTTTTCTTTTCCTTCGGCCAGAAGAATATATTTCTGTCCCCTAATGCCAACCATGACCAAGAACTCCTTACTCACAACGTGGAAACAAAGCCAGAATTAGTGCTTACTGCCCACATTTCTACCACATAAAATATTTCATTATTCAAATGAAATCGAATTTTGGTTTACATCTCAAATGCATCAACCATTATTGCTGTCTGTATTAGACGGTTACAGAACAGAACGGGAAGGGATGTGTAGGAGTGGCAGCTTAACACCCCCATGCAGGACGGGACGTGTTTGGGTCTGGACCTGAGAAGAGCTGAGGGCTGAGATCTGGGTTTGCTGGTACATAACGAGTGCAGTGGGGATACATTCAAATGGAAGTGTCTGAGCTGTTCTTCCCAAATGCTATAACCCAATGAGACCAATCAGCCCCGTGGTATTTCAGTTTGCTGTAGAAACCTCCTTGAAGCAGATGAGGTGTTTGCTAACTGGAGATACACGTAAATGAGTGCAATCACCTGGATCCCAGATCCCGCAGTCTGAACTCACAGGCAGAAGCAAGTGTGAGGTGAGCTGGCTCTGATCAGGGCTGCAGGCCAGTTTTGGGTCTGGGTGCTTTTCGGAAGCAGCCATGTGTGCTCATGGAGATCAGCATCACTCTTTTCCCACAGCTCAGCCACACGGATTTTGTACAGCACTGATCAGAGATCAGTGCAGCTAAATATGTCTCGTGTAAGCAGATACAAGTGCATTTGGTTAGTGCAGCCATGGCATTTCTTCCAGACAGCTCAATCTCTACATGCACCTGGTTGCAGTGGAGCAGCAGATGAGCAGCAGGGCTTTCTGGCTGTAGGAAAAGCCAGCCATCAAATTTGAGCAGCTTTCAGAAGCAGGAGAAATCACAGCCCCAAAGCCATGCTGTGCAGCCATTTCCCTGACCTGCTGGTAGCACGCAGAGAGAATGGGTTGTGTTTGTGTAGAGATCCTGCAAGGCGCTGCCTCTTGTGTGCTTTAAATGCTCAGAGGTCAGCGCAAAGAATCATCAGTGCTTTCTTCAGCAATATAACATGCTAACAATATAATTCCAGCAACACAGGGTGTATTTTCTAGTAGACCAGTAGAACAGGTGGGGACGTTGCAGCCACAGAATGTCCCTAATGCAGGGAAAAGGATGGGTGAGATAGGATTTGTGTACATGAGAGCTCTTCCCAAGTGAGGAACGCAATTCTACATTTTTATTTCCAGCAGACATTAGGCACTCAATACAGTGTCCATTACCACATCTTGCACTGCATGAATATCAAATGCACCTCTTATCCCTAAGTCTGCAACCAGAGACATTAATGCCCATTTATATGAATTGTAATTAAGCTCAAGCTAAATATTGGCTTCTGCAGCAGTTAAATGTTGGCAGGTACACACAGCATTGAGAGGGAAAAGACTGTGTTGGTCATGGACACAGGGAAGGAGCTACAGCAGCGGCGTGCTGCGAGTCACTGTGCCCGCTCCACTCAGAACAGCCCCAGAACCATGCCTGAACACACGGCTGCACGCCATTCTCCAAGGAAGTTGGCAGTTCACACACATCCAGGACTCCAGCTCTGCAGGATTTGGGGGTTTTTTTGCACAACCATCAGCCTTGGCCAGCTGAGCAGTGTGCCCACACTGCTGGGACTGTTCACTGATGAAGGATTTCAACTGGAAGCCCACATCCACTCCATAACTACATCTATCTTCAGTGCACAACAAGTAACAGCAACCCACTCTTTCGTCACTTGCAAAAGGTGTTTCACACACAGCGTGACAACGCACAGGAAGCTACTTTGGGACTTATGCCTTGAGAACTAACCTGAATCTCTCCGAACAGTAACCTGAGCTGCCAAAGAGGAGCGCTGAGGTAAGAAGCAGAAGATCTCATACGCACCTTTAAACCACTGAATTTCAGCAATGTATTTTTGGAATGGGAATGTATTGCATGGAAAAAATAGCTGGAATTTATTCTTTTTTGTTCTCTGAAGAATAAACGTAGAAAGGAATTCCTTTTCAGGTCAGAGGCATTTTTGAGCTCCCCGCCTGCACTACCAGAGGATAATGGAAGAACAGAGCTCGATTCTCAAAGTATCTTTTTGGAAAACCTAGGCAAAACTGGGACCCCAACTAGCAGCCACTCCTGGGAACAGAGGTCCAGGTTCTGGTGCCAGAGGGTTTGGTACTGTTTTCTTGTTTGTCTTTGTGGTGCTTTTCCAATTGTTGGACACCCTGGCGATGGAACACAAAAGCACTTCAGCACGGTGCCAATCCAGCCAGATGACCACTGCCTTTATTCCTTCTGTGCATGAGTGAAGTGCTTGTGTCTGTCTGCACACCTGCCTTCATGAGACGAAGGTCTGCCACGATGTCAGCAAACACTTTGTGATTATTACTACTAACTGTGGGCCAGTAATGCCAAAAGGAATACAGCTTCCTTTCCCTGCAGCCGCAGTTCTTCTCAGGGGCACTCCAAAGGAGAGAGCAGAAATGGCAGCTCCTACACTGTGGCACTGACAGTACATGCCATGTGTTAAAAAAAACTTGGCTGTGCTTTAATACCTTAAAATACTGGTGTCCAGCAGCCTATTGCAAGCCATTCCCAAATGGCTTCACTGATCCTCCAGCTTGGAGCCCAGCATGCTTCTAGTCAGGTAGACAGACATGGGATTAGTGCTACACATATAGGTTCTTTGGCACACCAGGAAGATCTGCACCTCTCCCAGAACTCAAGCAGAGATCCAACAATTCCCATGAAAGCTTCAGGTTTGCTTTTCTGGTGTTCCCATGCCTTGGCTGTAGCTGCTCCCACCAGACTGTGTAACACAGAGGAGAACTGCACAGCAAAAAAAAAAAAAAAAAAAAAAACAACCAAAAAACCAAAAAAAAACAAAAAACCCGTGCAAAGGAAGCTGAAGAAGCCAGCTTGTATTTCCCACGGCTTCCCTCAGTGCTGCGGTGCATTCTGCCTTCTCTGCTCTCCCCCAGTGCCCTGAGCACTGTTTTCTGCAGGATGGTGTTCTGCTGTGCACCCCATTAGCTGTATACTTCCACGTGTTTTTAAACAACTTGCAAAGACCAGCACCCTCACTAAAATAATTACAATGATTAAACAACATCAGTGACAAGGATTCTCTTCTTTGTGTTTACTTTCTTTTTCCTCCTGAAACTTGAGCAAAGTTTGGCTTCAGACAAGCAACCAAAGGAACCCAGAACACAAATGTAAGGCTGGGACTGTACAGCAGCCAGAGATGTGTACAGTGATTGATTTTATTCTGACTGGTACTGTGATGTGGGTCCATACTAATGCTCCAAAAATCTGTGTAAGCACAGGGAAGCATTTGGCATATGGTGGGACTGTCCACTTTAATTAGGCTCTGAAATATTTACAATATAAGGGCAGGAACCTGATATGCAATATGAGCGTCCCATTGTAAATAACCCTGAAAATCCTGTTTAGGCTGTCATATTCCACTTCTGTAACATGCAAACCCATAAACATTTTAGATTTGATTCTCACGTAACAAATCTGAGCTTCGGGTGATTGATTTGCTGTTCTCGCTTACCTTCTGTAAATCCTTTAGAAGTAGTCTGTGGATCCCAGTTGAAACCACTGGTTCAGACACAATGGCAAATACAGTGAAAAGGCAGAAATAAAACTACGATGCGGAAGTAAAAGCTGGAGTATAAACGTACTGCAAGCAGTGCCTTAGGGCACAGCCACCCGCGTGACTGTGGCTCCTCTGCTTGTAGGCTCCCAGGTGGCAGCTGGCTGGCAGGGCAGTGCTGGCAGCACAGCAGTGGGGTTGCAGTAGCCGCCACTGAGCAGAGCGGAGCAGGAGCCGGGCACTGAGCTCCAGCCCAGCCCCACGAGTGCTGCGAGCTCTGCTGTGCCTACGTGAGGCGGAGTGAGGGCAGCGGCTGCGGGTGGGCCGACCTGAGCTGCATTCAGCAGAGCTCACCTGGCCAAGTGAGAACACCGAAACGTGCTGCATTAGCAGAAGCACGAGCAGGTAAAGCAGAAATTGGTGCACATGATGCACACGCGTACGTATTTTATATGTTTATTTTTCTTAGAAAACATTGCGGCTGTTTATGTCCATTAATTTACATATATTTATTCCTACTACAGTATCATTTATAATAATACTTTCACCTCTATAGCACCTCCTCTTCAAGGATCTCCAATTGCTTAAAAATGTCAATAAATAAAGCCTCACATCTTGCCTGTGAGGTAGGTCACCCTGTTATCAAACTTTACAGATGCAGTAACTGAAAACAGAGAGGTTAAGGCCAACATTTTCAAACATTTGTACCTGAAGTCGACCATCTAAATTGTCATTTAGATGCTTAAATAAAAGTCTCGTGGTTTTCTTTGGTGCAGAACATCCATAACTACTGCTGCAGTCAGGGACTGGGAGTCAGGCCTGCTGCTGGAGGCTCAGCTCTGTACAGCCAACAAACTGCTCCGTGTCTCATCACTGTTCTAAACACACAGCCCACAGCAGAGCCAGAACTCAGCGCAGGGATTTACCTCCTCAGGGCCTCTCTATTATTAAATACGACTTTAAAAGGCTGGTGTGGATCTGGTAAATCAACTTAAGTGACACAAAAGTCATAGGCTATTTCCACAAACTACGTCTGTCGTATAAATACCTTTTTTTTTTTCTTTTTCTTTTTGAGGGGGTGTTTTTTCACAGCTTTGTGATGACGAAGACAATGCACAGCACACGTCACTTGTGCAGTCATAAAACACAGCACACAGCTCCACTTGCTGCCTTTACATTTCTACAGAGTAAATTCCTTTGCGCTTGTGATAAATAGAAGTGGCCGATAAAGGTCTATGAGGATACGTGTCAGAAGTCATGCACACAGCTTGCAACACACATAATCAAAGATCACTGTTAAAATTCTTGAATTTAGCACGAAAATAACTACCTCATTCCAATACAGTACTGTGTAGAAACACGGAATAAGAAGCACTATCTTATTCCCGATGTCGTAGGTTATAACAACTAATTAAGTTAAAAAAATTCAGGCACCAAATGAATCATCCCGCAACACAGAATAGTATCTATATGAGTGCTCTCCTTGATATACTACAAGACCAGCCATACGGCACTACGTTTCACACCACGTTACGGGAGTCTCGTCACATCTCTGACACATCTCTGAATGTCTCCTACTGGCCTCCATGGAAACTCCTAACGCAGAAGAGAAAGTCATCACGAGGGGAAAGCCCCTGCCTCACCGCAGTGCCTCGACCACAGGTAAGTGATCAGATCGCACGGTGAGCTGCCGCGTTCCACCTCTACAGCAATGCTGAAAGTCTGTATCTTAATGCGGGTTTCTCCCGCTGTATAAAAACTGAGATCAATGGCCAGCAGAGTACTGTTCTCTATCACAGGAGTCTTTCAGAGCTCCATTAATCAAATCATCATCCATAAATTAAGAGTGCAATGCAGCGGTTCAGTCTCCCACATTAAATGAGAATTTAAAAGAATTAAATAATAAAGCTTATTTTAAGCAACCAATAGAGGACTCGACGGCCTTCTAATAGGAATGTAACAAAGCCGTACTCGGTACAAGGAGGGATACTTTGGCTCAGTCTCTTTAAGATAATACGCTTCTGTTACAGCTTCTATGTGCACTTGTCAACTTCATAACAATAGAAAACGCATTTAGCCTCGCGATGCCGCTCTGCTCCTAACGCCAGCGCAGATCTCCAATTATCTTCCAGGTGGGGGCAACAGTAAGCCGGTTTTCTTTCATACTCGTTCCGTCCCGCCTTACCGAGCGGGCGGCAGTCGCACAGCGCTACACCGCGGGGCAGCGTGCCGGCGCCGCGCCCCTGGCATGGCCGGCCCCGTCCGCCTCCCGTCCCCGGAGCAGCCGGCAACGCGGCCGGCCCTTCCCCGGCGCTACAAACGCCGCGGAGCCCCGCGGGCCCGCCGGCAGCGACGGCGGCGGGGGACACCCGTTCCTCCGCGGCCCGCCCCGCATCGCCCTCCCCCGGGGCTGGCGGCCCCAGCACGGCGGTCCCGGCGGCCCCGAGCATCCCCCGCCCCTCCCGGCGCTACGTGTCGGTCCTGCGGGCCGCGGCACGGCCCCGCGCGGGGGCGTTGGCGGCGGCGGCCTCGGGCCGGTACTTGAGCCAGCAGATGAGCCACGTGACGACGACGGAGAAGAGGGCGAGCACGCTGGCCACCGAGAGGCAGATGGGCCCCACGGGCGACGGCGAGGCGCCGGACCCCGCGTCCCCGCCGTACTGGTTGACGAAGATGAGGCCGGTGAAGAGCAGCACCACCATGGAGAGGAAGGAGACGACGACGCACACGCAGCCCGCGCTCAGCGCCGCCCGCTTGCAGCTCTGGCAGCTCTCGTAGCCGCCGCCCGAGGAGCGCGGCCCGGCGCGGGCGGGGGGCGCGGGGGTCGGCGCGAGGGCGGCCGCCGCCTCCCGGGCGCGGGGCGGGCGGCGAGGCGGCAGCGGCGGGAGGCGGTCCTGGGGCAGCGGGTCGCGGGCGCGCAGCTGCGGCGGGCAGGAGGCGGCCAGCTTGGTGTTGACCGGCAGGCCGTGGACGCGGTGGTCGGGCAGCGCCGTGCGGTGGCGGCACAGCGGGCAGGCGAGGGAGCCGACGGCCGCCCGCCCCGGCCCCGCGCCCGGCTCGGAGGCGGCGGGGGGCTGCTGCGCGGCGCGCAGGTGCAGCTGGCTCAGGCACTCCTGGCAGAAGGTGTGCAGGCACTCCAGCAGCTTGGGCGCCCGCCGCTCCAGGTCGAAGTAGTTGTAGCAGATCTTGCACTCGTAGTCTTCGTAGCTGGGGGCGGCCGCCGCCCCGTCCTCCTGCCGCCCGACGCGCCCTCCGCCGCCCTTCTGCGCCGGCTCGGCCATAACATCGCGCCGCGGACGGGCGGAGGGTGCCGGGCTCCTGGCCGCGCCTGGCGGGCGGGCAGCAGCCGCGGCCCCGCCGCCGCCGCCTCCTGGCCGCGCCCGCGGGCTGCGGAGCGGCGCGGCGGAGAGCGGCGCGGCGGCGGAGGGCCGGGCGGGCGGGCGGGCTGGCTGGCGGCGCCGCCTGGCTCCGCGGGCGGGGGGCGGGCTCGGCGCCGCCCGCCTCTGGGGCTGCGCGGCCCTGCGGCGGGCACGGCCGGAGGGGTCGGGGCGCCGCCTCGGCTCGGGTCGCGCGTTTTCCGGCGCGGGCGGGCGGGCGGGCGGATGGGGAGCGGCTGCCGGGGAGCGCTGCGGCGCGGGTTGCGCTGCGGGCGCCGCTTCTTTCTGGGAGGAACCTCACGTGCCCAGGCCGTATCTTCCTTTCTACTCAGCGCAAAAAGCAGGTGCCTGTGCTGCAGCCGGGCCGGGAGGAGCCGCCGCTGTGCTTGTGTACGGCGTACAGCCGTTAAGGTTGGAAAAGACCACGGAAATTGTCTAGTCTAACCGTCGGCCCACCCCCGTGTCCCTCAGTGCCACATCTCTGCGGTTCTTGAACGTCTCCAGGCGCCTCCCTGGGCAGCTCACCGCTGCCGGTGCCTCACCGCTCTTTCTGAGAAGAAATTCTTCTGAATAGCCAGCCTGCACCTGTGGAGTGACATAAAGCCATCACCTCTTGTCCTGTCGCTGTTACCTGAGAGGAGCAGAGGCTCTTTTCAGTATTCTGCTCCCTGTAAGACTCATGCCCTAGACCCTTCACCAGTTCTGTTGCCCTTCTCTGGACATACTGCCTTTCTTGCAGTGAGGGGCCCAACACTGAGCACAGCACTCAAGGTGCAGCCTCACCAGTGCCAGTACAGAGGGACGATCACCTCCTGTTCCTGCTGGCTGCCGCATTTCTGGTATCAGCCAGGGTGCCATTGGCCTTCTTGGTCACCTGGGCACGCTGCTGGCTTGTGGTCAGCCTCCTGTCAGCTAACACCACCACATCCTTCTTCCAGTGTTGTGTTGTAGCGCTGAGAGCCTTCGCTCAGTGCAGACTCAATCCATGCAACAGTGCATCCGTTTCTTCCAGCACTGTAACACTGAGCAATTCAACAGGTTCACTGTGGTGAATTCTGCTCTTCTATGCCTTATGCATCTGGAGTAACTCCATTATATTCAAGTTTAGCACAGGCCCTCTAAAACCAGTGTTTTTTCTCAGCAGATCTGACATGCACATGCAGGTAGGGGTAACTGTGGGGCTGTATTGCAGGCTCTGCCCTCTATGGGCCTCACAGTGCTCACCAGACTTGTTGCCCTTCGCCTGTGCTGGACCTTGGCCTTGTCCTGAACCTGAGGGAGCTGGATGAAGTGGGGAACTGCCCAGGGACAGCCTGTGAGGGCTGAGCATGTGTGGCTGATGTGTGGAAGCAGATCCGAGTGTGGCCCACAAGGCCCTGAGCAGTACATCTCACAGGACAGAGCTGGTGTGGGGATTCTCAGCTTATCATAAACTGAAATAATAGGATAAAGTTGTGGAGCTTCAGTCTGTGAAAAGAAGAAAGAAAATGAGTATTGCTGTCACTGTGGTGGACAGCCACTTCTGCACATAGGGTCAGCAATCAGCCCTCCCTAAGGGCAACTAGCACTGCCTGCAGCCGCAGAGCATCGCCACACCTGGGTTGGGAACTTCTCCATCCAGCTCTTGTACATTCATTCTTGTCTCATTCACTTGTGAACTCTTAAATACTTTTAGATATGTGTTTATATTTGTTTTTGTTATGCTGGGTTTGTTTGTTGTTTGGTACTGTCTCCCAGTTGTTTCTGCCTTCCCATTTAATGAGTTTGTTGCTACATTTCAGGAGATTTGTAACAGTTGTATGTCAGATTATCCCAGGCTCCATTCTTCCACTTAATACTTTTTCCATGTTTGTAATCTTCCAACTTTCAGTTAATGTTCAAAACACACAAAAGTGCCAAGATCTAAGCAAATTCAAATTCAAGTAAAATTATTCAAGGCACTGTATCAAATGCTTTAATAGAGTCCAGATATATCAGCCGTTGTTCTGGTTCAGACCTCTGCCTTTTGTGTTCTGAATTTTCTTATCTGAGCAGTTTCTGCCTGGAGGTCAGCTGGAACTCCACCTAGCATGGAAGGCAGTTCTGGGAGAGCTTCCTGCAGCTCGGGCGTAAACACACTGGGGAAAGGGCAGAGTGGGACAGAACTGAAAAATAAAGCTGCTAGAGGTAAATGTAGGATGAATTTTACATTTTACTTTAGAAAAGCAAATGTTGAGTTGCAGAAGGCTGTTGGGTGGAGGTTACTCCTGTGAACAGAGCGCTGTGGCTGGGAGAGGAAATGAAGCCGGGACCGCAGCAGCAGTGCTTTATGTACAGAGCTCCCCGCAGGGCACAGCCACCCCCAGCCTTACCCTCTGCTCCCAGCCATGCCACGTGTGTGGGGCCCGCACGGTATGGGCAGCCCATGTTCTCCCAGGAGCAGCGGCTGTGTGCAGCAAGAGTGGAAAAGTGTCTCTCTGTAGGGTGTGAAGGCCTCGAAAACTGGAATTAGGAGAACCTGAGGGAGCTGAATGAAGTGGGGAGCTGCCCAGGGACAGCCTGTGAGGGCTGAGCTAGATGTGTCTAGATTTTGAAAGAGTCACTGCATGCCCCGAGGTCCAGATGTGTTCTGTCCTTCAGTTGCTTTAGTTACAGTCAGCATTTGTTTTTGGACTGTTGGCCTGGAGGACCATTCTTTAATGGTAAAAAATCCTGAAATGCTGCTGTGGTGTTTCCAAGGGAGCCAGTTCCTGAGCCTTTGGATACAACTGAGCAGAGGTGACAGACAACCCTTGCAAAACACACATTTTTCCACTTAAAATAACCACCCTATAGCTGCTAAGGATTGATTTTAGCATGTTAAATACTGGGCCGATGTACCCCATGCAGCCCTTCAGTTCTGAACTGATGCTTGACTGGATCCAGGAGGAGCTGCACAGTGAGGCAGGAGCTGGTGGTGAGCCAAGTCCCAGCACCACACATTTGTCACAAGCACTGTGCTGGAGCATCCCTGCAGCACCAGTGTGTTGTATTCATAATTTCTGTTCTGCTGCACAGTTGGTATGTCTAATGATGTTGAACATCTTACTTTGTAGGTGGGAAGAACATTATTTCTGATAGACATGTCAGATAGGGATGGCTGGGCTGCCAGCCTGCTCGTGGTAACAATGTTAAGAATCCCTTTCATACGTTCTCTATGTTTCAACAATTCAGTAGCTATGTAGGACTGATGGATAGGATGTTGAAGTCGGACAGCTCTTTAGTTAAGTCCTCGTGGTTTAACATGCTCCTGTGGTTGACACCAGAAGCTTTTTGTCAATATCTGAATATCACAAGCTTTCATTTTATAAAAGTCTGCTTACTGTAGAACTTTCTAGTGTGCACTGAGTCACTAAGCTTGGAGCTCACACTGTAGCTGTTTAGAAGAAAACTCTTGCTTTTCATTCATTTACACAAATTTTCCCCTCCAGTCCCATTTCCTGTCACTGTTGCAGGGCATTGGCAGTTGTGCATTACCTTTGTGCCCTATCATTGGGCTGCAGGATGCTGCAGCAGCATCCTCTGCTTTCTTCACGTTAACATTTTATTTCATATAATGTATTTATGAATAATTTATAATAAAAGTGTTTTCTTTTTTTGTCTTTTCTGCTTTGGAACTTCTGTAAAAGCCATTACATGCAGTACAGAAGGGAATGTTAATTTTCAATAATATTTATATGCTATTTTAGGGATCTGAAAAAGGATAAGAAGGATTACAGTTATGAGCAATGCCATGTCAGTTGTAGCCGTGTACAAAATGTGTTGTTCCCTCCCTTAATGCATGTGATACAAAACGTGCAGAGGTAAATAGAAATGATGGTACTATATTTGACGCTCCTCTACTCCCCAAAAACTCTCTGTTGTGTTGTAGCTGCTAAATACAGTCCTGTGTCAGTTGCCTTAAGCGATGAGCAATGCGTGAAAGATCCCAGATTTTCTTAAAGTGAAGCTGCTTCCTCCTGAACGGTGAGAAGGGAGCTGACGTTGAGCCTCCTCTGCGAGCACTGCAAAGACACTGGGTTGTTCACAGCAAATGGGTGAGGGTGTGGGCTTGCAGCTGGGACTGACCACGTCAGACACCATTTCTGGTGATTCCTTTCCATTTGTTTTCCATAACCCCGTGTTTTCACAGAATCACAGAATTGTAGGGGTTGGAAGGGACCTCCAGAGATCATAGAGTCCAACCCCTTCAGCATGTCACAAACAGGCAGCTGTACTATAAGCGTTGGTTAAGACAAGCAGCCATTTACAGATAAGAGGATATCTCCATTAGTGCAATACTCTTCTCCAAGAGCCCATGTTGAACAGCTTCAAGGAGCATCCCTGGACTTGGTACCCAGAGCAGGCCCGGCTTGAGAGTTCTTTAAGCCAATGGCAGGCCTAAATTGTAACTGTACGGTTGAACTGGGATAAGTCCTTTGGTTCAAACAGCGCCGTGCTTTCTGCCCATCGCAGTGACAGTGACGGCGGGAGTTGATGCTGGAGCACTGAGGTCAGTGCTGGCGCAGGAATGGCCGAGCTGCTGGGCTGTGTGTGCAGTGCGTGGCACAGCAGCCGGGCAGGGGCAGGCGTGTGTGATGGGGATGGCTGTGCCTTGTGTAGCACCGGGGGGCTGAGATTAGTGTGTGCTGGCCACATAAAGCACCTCTGTGGGAAAACATTGCCAGGATGAATCGTTGCTAGTAACAATGTGTGTATTTAGAGAGCACCACATGGCTGTTTGCTGTTGGGCAGTTCAATTTTGCAACTTAACTCGTCCTTGCGTTGTACTGAGTAAGAAAAGCTGTTTCTATATGGAATCACTTAAAAAGATTCTATAGTACCTCGGGAGCTTTATTTGGAGTACCCAGACACCTTACAGTTACAGCTTTGATTACAGCTCATCATTGGCAGCACTGACTGCAAATAGGTACTGCTATCTCCAAAATAAAAGCCT